TCTACTTCCAAGATTTTGAAATTTGTTTAAATTCAAAGTTAAAATGGGGGGGCAGTTATATTAAACAGAAATAGCAACTCAATTATCCATAAAAGGAAATCCTGCAAACTCAGTCAAGCACTAACTCTTTCCGGCTATCATAAATAGAGAATGATCTTTCAGTAGCTCTAACATATACCCTTTTGTTAACAGACCTAGATTCCTTCATCATGCTCCTGTGCAACCTACTTTCAACCAGATTTCTGGACAATAAATTCTATCTGGTTAATACAACTGGATAAGCTGTGCAAAACTCCATGAAGCTCTTTTTTTTTTCTAGGTGAACTATGATCAGCAACTCCAAATATCATTTTCAAAACAAAAGCTTATTTTGTCAAGAAGCACGTAGCATGCAAAGGTACACAAGAGGCACAAAACCCCTGTGTATCCTCCCTTTTATAAACTATATTTCCTTTGCAGTTTTAATAGCCATTGTTCAATCCAGCTATCCCTAGCTTAGGAGAAGCAAGTTGTACCATTGTCTCCATCCTTCCTTGCATGTTGATCAACACTCACTACAAATCTCTAGAGATCAGTTCTCTCTTCAAGTCAGAGACTTTTCCATTTTTCTTCTGCTTTGTTGGATTCTTCATTATTTTAGTAATTGGGATCAGAGATAAGAAGAGGAAAGTTTTCCAATCTGGCAAGCACATTGCCCAATTTATTGTTTTCACCACTATTTCCCAAGGGCCCTCAGTATTATTTCTCTAGCCTTTACTTCCTTTCTTTTGTGAAATGTTTATCTCCTGCATGTTTCTCCATTTTTCTGCTGCCACTGTTGATTAAAATTCTTGTCTTCAATGTAGACTTAGGTAAGCAGGTAACCCAAAGGACACTTGAGTTTTATGAAATAATTTCACCAACAATAAATTTCCTCTTTTCTCTAAAATAGTATAAGATAATTTCAGTACAATGAAATTAAATATATCATAGGATACATGTAGTCAAGGGACTCAGCTAGCCACATTTTGAGTCCTGTTTCAGCTCATTTCAAAGGCGCAAAATGGGTATAACAGGCATCCTTCTCTTCACTTTGCGAGCTGGAAGATCTTTGAATACATTAAAATATGGGGCTGAAACTCATTTCTGTGCAGAGGGCACAAATAAAGCCAATTCAGGATGAAGTGCTGGGCTTGTCATCACAGCAGAAAAATCGCTCAGACATTTAGCAGATACATCAAGCACGGCCATTATATTATTTAATGGTGGTCTCCCTAGACTTGGGCAATAAGTTTTACTAAGGAATTAAATCATTTAAATGAGGGCGCAGATTCTCCATATAACCAGCTGAAAGAAAGAAGCATTTTTTTTTTAAGAGAGATCAAAGGGACATCACACCAGCCCACCTAAATTTCACTGTTTCTCTTCCCTGACTGTAAAAGGAGTATAGACACACGCTTAAGGAAAATCCATTCACTAGCTAAATTTAAGGTACAGCTGATGGACATGATCAGCTAGAATTTTTTGAAGAGATAACAAAGCCTTTTACTAAAGCATCTTTGGCATTAATTTCCAAACATTGATTTACTTCATAAAGGATCAAATTATATTAACTTTACTCACACTGAATGGGATCATGCTGTACAATTATTCCAAATTAGTCCCATAAAATCACATCTGATGAAAGCAACTGCTCAATCTGAATAAAATCTGTTACTAAGTAGATAGGATTTTAGAGCAGAGACGTTTTAGGGCTTCTACCAGGTTGTTTGCAATTGGAGTAAAGGCAGCATTAATATCAGCTCAAAACCCAGATGGAGGAGTTAGAGGATGCATTATCTGATTTTGCATGACTGCTGAGTTTTTAGATTCAATAATGTTTGGAGATCTGGAGTCTAGGCCCTCCTCTGCCTAAAGGCTGAACTAACGTGTGACTGCTAACTAAGGACAGTGCCTTAACCATCTGAAAGAGGCAGGGTAAATCTCCACCTTCATGTTTAAAGCTGTGCCTTAGCAAAGAAAGGAAAATAATACTTGCAGGAGCAGAGAGACTGAGACTTCATCTTACTGAAGATGGATGTCTCCTCGCAGAATATCAAGTGGACACAAGTGCCCCAAGCATAGGAGGTCATATGCCTGAATCATATGTATTGTTTTATATGCTCCATGTCATGTTTTCTATGGGCTAATTGTAAATGGCTCCTTCTCGGCACAAGAATTATCAAATTGCTTTTTTCAGAGGTGCCAAAGGAAATGAGGCGCAGTAGATACATAACTAAGACTTCCGAAACTTCTTGATCACCTAACCTTTCTGCACTGATTTCTATTTAAAGAAATAAGTGTTCCACATTATCCTGCTGAGTTTGGTATCTGATTTGTAAGTAATGTAAGTGATGCTTTTCAGTGTTCTTATAAAACAGCATCAGAATATAACTCATCATGCTTTGAGACAAATTGATAAAGTATTTTAGCATAGACATAACTTTATAATAAACTTACAGATTTGTTGTCAAAATAACTTAAGGAGCTGCTAAAAAAGCAAATGTAGTTTTCAAATATCTACAAAATATAATTAGATTTGATAAAATAAATTTTTCGGTAACTAGAAGCTCTAAAAGTTCACAAGTCCTTATTGCTGCAATCCGTAGTTCAGTAGGCTACGCTAAAGTACTTAGGCAGGTGCAGATTAACTATTTAATGATATCTACTAAAATCTTAATACTAGCCATCTTAAATCTGTTCTCCCAAATTAGGTAGTTTCTAGAAATTAAATTCCTCTAGATTACTCCCAAATGTCTTCTATATCAACAAATTTTCAAGTTTTCAGTTCAAACACGTACTACACAGTTAGGCATGTAAAACATATAGCCTCAAAAAAAGTTTCCGTATTTTGCACAACAACGTTTAGGCTCAGTAAAATCCCACTTAGCTGATGTTTTGTTAGTACTATGTATATTTAGAAGAGCAAAACATATGGTGATATTAATCTAATTTGCCTATGTTCTTGTCCCACTTTGAAACAAACAAGAATCTTATACTATCTATCTAGAGCCTCTTTTTATTTATGATGTCTCCTTAGAGACACAGTGAAAGACCAGTATCACATAGTCTAGTGTCATTCAGTTCTAGACAAAGACAAAAAAGCCGAAGACTGCATGCTCAGGAGTATCCTATTTACAACACATTTTTCATCTGAAAGAAGCATTCAGAGATGGATATAAAACAAGCAGATAGCATACATATGGCAATCGACTTTGTGGAGGCATATGCACAACATGTCAACTTTATATTAAAAGAGTTATTTTAAATAAGGTTCTTGGGCTATATTTGAAAACTGGGAAATGCAAGATGGTTACTACCTTTTGTTACTCAATTTTATTTTGGGGGATACTATTTAGGAGCAATAACTTTAATACCAAAAAGGAAAGGCAGTTTTTCCCGACATTAGGTTTGTGAACTACAATAGAAGGGTACATCTATATCTGCAAGATTTCCTAATTCATTCTCTACCTTTCTTAAGACAAAAATTCTTAAAGAAACTGCTCTGAGATACCAATTATTATATTGTAACACAGCTAGCAATCACTCTCAAGAAAGGTTGGTTTAATCCAGTTTCAGATATTTAGAGAAATGCTTTTTTGAGATTACAAATAAGAACTCGCAATATTCCATTTCCATCGCATACCTCACACAGGCTAAGCATGTCATTACAACTATAATTTATGTGATGTAACATGACAGTTAAGATGTACTGTGGTAATTTGTGAGTGCTTTCAGTATTATTGTAGTATCAAAAATTTATATGGTTCAGTTATTAAGGCAAATTGTTTCATTCATATAGAGATGTCTGACAGTAACCACAAAGGACCTCCAAATTACACTGAAAAAATATCTTCCATATTCAAGTAATTTGTACACATTCTTACCATTATTTTTATCCCTGAATAGAAAGAGGATGAAATTCTGTCTGGAAAAGTATTAGTTGATATCACAGGGTAAGTTCACCAGGTATGGAAGATTATAGAAAAAATCTTTCCCTTGCACAGCGGAATAAGCCTTGCTACCTTCAGCAATTTATAGCCATGAACAGGATGCCCAGTTCTTTAGAATGATGCTATTTAATTTCCACATGCTCACTTACCTTCTGTCATGTTGATTTTCAGCCAGCAGGAAGAAAATAAATAAATAATAGGTTGACTAGCCTGAAGAGACTAAAATGGGAAATGTGTTCAAGCATATTAACGTTAGCACTTCAGATAAATTTTAGCATAATCAGAGAAAAGTCTATTCAGCTTTCTTCAAGTTTAGGCCTCACTCAATCCTCAATTCCGCTCTCTGGAAAAAAACTGGTGTTTTCATGAATGTATCATGCATGATAGCAGAAATGGTGAGATGCCTGATAGTCATACCACTACAGCACCTAAGAAATCTTTCAGAGACTTTAGAAAGTAAATATTTGGTGTTAATCTGCAGGACATGAATATGTCTGCATGTGCGCACATGCAGACGTGGATAAATATGTGCACTAGAACGGGCACAGAGCTCTCAGCAGCATTTTCTGAGTTCCAGGGCAGAGCTCCCCACACACAAGTTTCTTGCCAAACATTAAAGTTTTGTAACACACCCCCACAACATCTGATACACAATTTGCATCTATGAAAAGCAGACAAGGGAACTGGTTTTCAAAGCTGAGGACGAGATGGTAAGAAAAGAGGACAACCGGAACCACATGCTAGCCAATTCATTCAAGAAACTATGCTGCAAACGATATAGACTTCTCTAATACCTGACTGGTGAAGCCTGAAGAGGCCTCAAGGTCAAAGAACTTAATTAATTTTTTCTGCTTAATTTTTTGCCTCACAAGCACTCTCCATATGCCTCATTCCTTTCTGCTTGCAATTTTGCTGGTCAAGTAGCTATCCAGCTTAATCTTCCCTCAACCCCTCCCTCCTTCAAAGCCTTACTTCTTTCCTCTCTCAATAAATCAAATTAGCTTTTAGGCAAGTACCATTTGCACTTACTTTGTTGCCCAAATAAGAACTGGGTGCACTCCAATAATAAGTCTGTGGCAGTACTTTACTTGCAGCCACATTGTTGATGCTCAGTTGCTGATGTCCACGAAAGCTCTTTTGTTTGGGGGTAACTCTGATGAGACCAGGTAAGTCTGTCAGAGACCAGCCATTCATGTCTTCTATCTATGCAGTAGATAAAAAAAAAACGATTACAGTGAGATTCAACACATTGGTCATCTCAATACTCACAACCTCTCATTCTTCTATTTTTAAAAAAATTGATAAGGCTTACAAATATGATTAACAGTTTAGGAACAGAGGAAGTAACAGGGTAATAATGGCAAAAACTATTCTTATTTTATGTAACCAGGAATTAAAACTCCTCAGTTGGTTGTCAGAAGTAACTGCATACCATATGCATATATTTGTTTACAGTGCTTTCACATCATCCAGACATAGCAGGAAATTCTATCCATCTTACTCACAGTCGTGTGAATAGGAATGATTTCTGCAAATATTATACAAGTTTTCCCTAAATACTATTGGTCACAGAAGGTACAGAAGATGAACTGAAAAATATATATTTTTTGATTGTTGTAGACAGCATAGTTTCTAACAGTTTGTAATTCTAAAGCCTTACAACCTACAAGTTTATGCATTTTTTAGAAAGACAGCAAACCCAAAGCAAAGCTGAAAAGCACCAGAACTTGAATTTCTGAAATCCCATAACCAGGAATGGATCAGTATAGAAGTATCAGTGTTCATACAAGCATGGCTTCCAGTATGGCTTCGATACGAGCAGAACAACAAAATAGCTCTAGAAAATTTTCCGGATGCTGGCATGTAAATAAGTACACCAGGCATATTTTACTTTCGGATTTCCAGCATATAGACAAGACAAGGAGCTAGCAGACCTAGAACACATTTCCCAGGCTAGATCGACAGATATGAATATGTAGCACACATCCGTTACAGCGGAACCAGTGTCCAAGCTTTGAGAACTAATTTAAAGTTTAGAGTATATTTACATGCTAAAGACATTTTTCTACAGTGAGATTTTGCAAATAAGAACAGTAGGTTCACTGCACTTTCACATCCTTCCCTAGGTATGCAGCATACAAAAGAAATTCACCCAAAATGTCCCTGTAAGCATCCCTTCTCCTTACGTAGGCTGCGTGTCGTACTTTTAATGATTCAAAATTGTTAATTATTTCAGGTCCGGAAATTTAAGACCTGGAAAGGAGACTGCTCTATGGACGTGGTGCGTTTAACTCAGGACTGATTATATCTGCATATTCCAGGACTCTGTTTATGCACATAGCTTTATTTGTGACTGTTATGACTTCCTTTGCAGTACTGCACTATTCAACTGCACTTCTTCAGAACTTTCTCACAATGAAAAGAAAAAAAGCTTATAAGCATTTTATTTCGGATAAATGAGAAGACTTACGTAGCATGAAAGAATATGCACTCTGGTGATAGTGGACAGTGACAACACACAAAAATACAAAACTAATTACATATTTATATGGTGATATGAAACAAATTTTCTTACGCTTCTGTAGGTAAAGTGAGAGTCTATGCAGACATCTGTTTTCCCAGAGCAGAAGCATTCCTCGCAGCCTTTAGGATTATTTTGCTGCAGGTTGAAGAAACCTGGTTTGCAACGATCACAGTTTTCTCCTTCAACATTTTCCTGGAAATGCACATTGGAATATTACTTCAGCTGTCATAGATTAGAACTTGAGACCACTGAGACCCCCAGCTTTTTACTCTCTTTTGCTTTAACGCATGGCTAAAAAGACATTTATAGGAAACGCTCTTCTTACCTGTCAATATTAGAACCAAATCTTCTACACAATAAAAGTTAATCTGGCTGCATGAAAGTAGCAGAGTCCAGAATTCAGACATTTTAAGATTTTTAATTCTTCTACTACATGAATATACATACTTGATTTCAGACAATATTCTAATTAATCTTCTGTACAATTAAAGGAGCAAGAGAGGAAAGAAGTATGGGACCATATGGCATGGCCTTAACAATTGCAGCTAGTAGGTATGGCTGATAAAATCTGTGCATACTCAATTGAGGCATACTATAGGTACACAGAGTGAGTTGTACCAACCCTTCAGCGTATCAGTTTTTCAGTGGCCTGTCATTACTAACTGAATTTAGGCTAAATCCAAGTACTGGCAAGGCCTGCATTTCTCCTTTCCATGACTGCATGGGTTTGCCAACCATGCAGCTAGGTCTGCAAACTCTTCCCCTGCACAGTCAGGGCACTAAATGTACATGAAAAGTTCTAAACACAGCATTTTATAATTATATTTTTCAGAGCATTCTTACATTGTGCAGGAAGTCCTGCTACCCTTACGCAAGAAATCAATTTTGGTAAGCATAAGGCTGGCTTTTCTACAAGGACTACACTACAAAAAGCTCACACTGTAGTACTGACTTAGTAATTCAACATTATTTTCTCAAGATGGGCCAGCAAATTCTTTCCCTCTCAAAAGTGCTTTATATACAGTCTCTTTAACACTGGACACAATACTCACAATATGGTATGCACACAGAACCAAATTGTTGGCTCCAAGTCAGCAGAGAATGAATAAATTATAAAAAGCCTGCCCACACTGTTTAGTCTAGGAGTGCTTTAACTGTATAGCTCTGAAATAAGTTCAGCAAAAGCTATTTGACGGCCTCCTGGCCAAGATGGGGGAAAGGTGGAGAGAAGGTGGTAAAGCATGTGGTAGAACAGGGAAAAGGAAAGTACAGGTGGATTAAGAGAAAACAGGGACAATGTCGGGGGAGGGAGGGGGGAAAGAACAGAAAAGAAAGTAAAGAAAAGAAGACAAAAGGAAAAAGTAAATGGGATTTCACTATATGCCATGAATACTATTACACAGTGACAACGTGTAGCAAAACAACACTGCTGTACCTCTATAGCTGTGCTGTATCTATGCTGTCAATCAACATCCTCACATACTGTCTGTTCAACAAACAAAACATCTCTAACAATTCTCAAGGCTACTAGTGACATCAATTAGTCACTACTAATAATAAGTGACATCTCATCAATTTCAGGGACAGCGCTCTTTCTTACATTTTCACCAACAACCTTAAGATTCGTATCAATGCATATTATAGTCATAAGTATGTTGAAACCACCCAGTCATTTATGCTCGATATGAAAAACAACGTGGGACAGCCTTTGGAAACGTACAGGTGTGCTGAAATCACCAGTCATTTATGCTCTATATGAAAACTAAAGTGAGATCGCCTTTGGAAATGCGCAGGCACTCAAATGATCACACGCATCTAGAAAACGGAATTACACATGCTGCTCCAAGAAGGTTCCTTGCTGCTGTGCTTCGTGTGTGCAGAGCAGGAAGAAGAAAATAAAGAAGAGAGCTGCAAAGCACAGGTATTTGTTTAAATGAACAGCAGAACACCATCCTACTCTGCACGTCCTCAGTGAGTAAAATCTGTATCATTCTCATAAGCAGGCAGTACGTTCATTGAATAACACACATAAAGCTTGAAGTTGGAAGGGTGATCTAACCTACCCTCCAGCCAGCAAAGCAATGTTTCTGCAGTCTAATTTATTTCTGAATACCATGTTCAGTCTGGTTTTAAATTACACAAAAATGAGACTTTAACCATATACCGTCAAGAAACTTTCTCTGATAATCAGTGATAAAACCATCACTTACACTTATCCCTCACCTTTCTGTACTTTAGTTTGCTCTGGCTGATGTGACAAATATAACAATCTAATGCCAATTTTGTCACATTTTGCTTTTCATCCTAGGAATTTTTTCAGCAGTCAATTTCCTTAACAAGGAAACAATCTTTAGTAAATTTCAGAGCTCATTATATTTAATTGAAAGATGTGATTAAGAGAAGGGAAGCATTTTTCCTAAGACCTGTTATTAACTTGTCCAGACATCCCACTTTGTTCTTCATTTAGAGCATAAGTAATCTGATGATTTCAGCATCCTCTTGGCCATAATAGGCATTGATTTGAATGTGAAGATTGCTAATGAAAATAAATGTAAATGCATCAGTTCCTCAGCTATCTGCAAAGGATATTTTTTCCCCCCGATAAGCACTTAAGGGGATTAGAGGAGCAAAGGGGAGACAAACGATGACCAGGGAATTAAAAGCATACAGTACGGACTCTCTGGGGTAGGAACACTATCTCTGTTCTGTATTTGTTATTTTGGCCTGATTATACCAACAGGCCAGTCCGGTATTATACAAATAATGCCATAATAATAAAAATCATTCAGCAGTGGGGATCTTCTTTTCAGGTTATGACACCTTCGTCAAAGCTCCCTTTCAACTCAGAAAATAGCAAAAGCACCCCTTGTGTGATCTTCTAGATTTGATAGCCAAGGAATGAGAACTCTGATATGGATAGATTTTATTTCTGACAGAGAGCATTTGAGTTTATATAAAGTGGGGATAAGGTTAATATCCTGGATAGATTTCAGTGCTATTCAGCTGTCACACCAGACCTTTTATAAGTGTATGCAGTGTGAGCTCATAGAGCAAACTATTTTTTGTACATTCTTGTGCTTGAGGATATAAGTATTTTTGCATTTACATTTCTGTCCAATTCTGTTAATTAAACATTGGAAGAAAACTCCCACAAGAGCAACACAGAAGAAGTAACCTACAGTATAATCAGTTGTCCTTTCGGCATATTCATGGTGAGTTATTAAACTGCAACTTTCAGAGCACCAGCTTTTCAGAAGCATTTCTGACATGTAGCTGTTTTGTAAGAAGTAGATGCATGTGGTTTTTAAATAGTGTTTATTTCAATGTGATATCAGTATATATAATTTGCTAGAGGTACACGCAAGCACACAAAGATCATTCTTGATCTTTCCTCATAGAAATCAAGAAATTCAACCTACAGGAAGGAAAAGCCCCAGTAGTCTAATGGAATTTTTTTTTAACTGAATGTGTTAGAGATTTCTAAACAAGCATCCCAGGACAAGGAAGAATATTCTCAGTTCAAAACTTAACAAGAAAAGAGGATTACACCCCTCATGAGAATCCCTAAAATGCTATATTTTTGTTTGTTTGTTTTAATATATCAACAGTTCGCCACATTTGCTCATTGGAAGTCAAAATAACCAGTCACTACTGGTTATTTTTAGAGCTCACGGTACTTTAAATGTATAGCTTCTGAGAGTTTGAAACAAATGATTCACAGGCTTCTTAAGTATCTCTTTGCAGATTTTTAGGGAACTTATGACTGGTAGTGGACGCCCAGGTATCTGTTTTAATTACAATGAGTACTGAGATGACCCAAGACAATCTAAGAGTTCACAAGACCTAAAACAAGGCTTCCACGAGAAGTGACTGAGATATGGATATCCACCAGCCAGCAAGGACAGTGGAACACCATCGTAACGACAGAACTCCACTGACGGCAATCTTTCAATAACACTGGTCTCTTCCTGCGGCTCAGAAGAATTTGACATCCATACCTTGCAGATGCAGAGCCCTAAGCAAGGATCAACATTCACACTGCCTTTCAGAGAGCAGTTGCAGGGCAGGCAGTCAGGATATCCTGTATAACCCAAAGCACATCTACTGCAGTGCTCTCCTGCATAGCCAGTCTTGCAGTGACAGAAACCAGGCAACATATCTATGAGGAGAGAAAGAAAAAACATGAGACACACATATTTGATTTATCATTATTATTACCAGAGTGCTCAAAGCAACACCTTTGGTAGGTATAACAGAAGAGTGTCCACTCTGGGTTAGACCGTACATCTACTTAACACAGTATCCTATCTGAGACTGGCCACATCAAAGCATTTAAGAATAGAGCAAGTGTATAGTGATTTGAATTGAGTTTCCAAAAACCTGCATATTAGAGATCTTCTAACCTTAAAGTTGTGCCTAGGTCTTTGCACCTAACAGTCTCTGAAAATCTTTTTTTTTTCCATTAACTTATCCAATTGCCTTTGAACTTGCTTTAACTTTCAGAATCCATAAAGTTCCATGGTAACAAGTTCTACATTTAGCCACGTGTGCTGCGAAAAAACATTCCTGTACGTTAAATCTGTATTTATTGCCAATTCGTATATCGTAGAAAATGATGAATAACCATTCCCGATTCACTCTCTCCATGTCATCTGTGATGTCAATATGTCTCTATCACATCCCACATAACAATTTTATTTTCAATGCCAAAAACTCCTAAGCCTACTTAATATCTCTTTATTCAGAAACTGCTCTGTAGAGCTGAAAATTCCTATTATCCTTCTCTGCACTATTTTCAGTTCTAATAAATTATTTAATGAGAGGGTGGAGGGAATGTCTAGTGTGGACTACAAATGGTACAATGATATTTTCAGTTTTGTTCTTAAAATATCAGTAATTTCCTAAGGCTGTGTTGACCCTTTTGACTAGTGCTGCGCAAGCACTGAGATAATACAGGCAGGTACAATCCAAAGTAATTCTAAGACCTGTTTCACTAGTGGTATTACCTAATTTAGAAATCGCTGCAATCAATGTACAAGTAGAACTTCTTGTCTCTGTGTTCTGCTTTGTATTTAAGTGCTATAGAAATTCATCACTTATTTTATTACTCAGTCACTGACTATCCTGAGATCCTTCTGAACATTTTGCACGTCTTTCATTTTTCTACATTTAAAGATGTTTGTTGTACCTACAAACTTGCCACTTTCTTACTCATCCCTTTTCCAAGTTATATATGATTATTCTGAACGGCTCAGATCACTCTTCTTTGTGAAAACGGTCCATTTATTCTTTTAACTAAGTAGTATTAATCCATGACAGAACTTTTCTTCCTTATCCCATTATAGCTTCTTTAATGGTCTTTCATGAAGTACCTTGTCAAAACTTTTAGAAAATCAAAATACAGTATTAATCAAATGAACCTTTGTTCACTGACTCCTTTAAATAGATTCATGAGGCACACTTCCCTCTACAAAAGAAGCTATCTTAAGTTTTGCCCATTAGATGGAATTTTAGCCACAGCTCAGTAATGGCATATATCTTTTATTGTAGTTCTACTGATCTGCTTGGTACAGAAGCTAGACTTCCTGATTTTAGTTTTCTGGAACCCCTTTCTTTTAGGTGACCCTTTAATAAATTGGACAAACAATTTCTATTCATATGATACTAATGTCAATTAAAACAATATATTATAAAGTGTGCTTAGGCTTCAGCAATTTCATTTTTAACTATCTATAGAAGTCATGAATATATCTTATCTAGACCAGATGATTTTTTATCATTCTTTTATTAGCTTCTAAAACTGACACTTCTATTTGAGATAGTTCTTCTGACTTGTTTCTGTGAGCAAAGACTCTCAAGTGGGAGATTCCCTACGCTTTTCTACTCACCAGTGCAAAGAATTCATCTAGCTTTTTTGCTGTACCCTTTTCTTTCTTGAGATCTCAAGTTATTACTTGATTACACCTTAATCATATTTAAACCCTACAGAATTTGAATCTATAACAGTCTTTTTAATTCTGACTTATCTGAAGAAGTACTTGTTAACAATTAAGCATTTACCAAATTACTCCTTAAAATATTCTGATGTGTTACTAAGAATATGATCTTACAGAACCTGTCACAATTTATGTCCTTTTCCTCAATTGGATATAACTTCACTTTTGAAGGGAATTTCTTTTTTAGCTCCTAAATAAATTTTATTTTACTGTATAGCTTAAATATGTTGCTCGAGTCTTTGGATTAAAGAAATGCCTCTTCTCTAAGTGCATAATATGTGGTCTGTAACCATCATGCCTGCCACAGCTTGCCCACCTTTGGATTGTTCATTTTGATTTTCTTTTAACAAGATTTCTTGATTTGATGAAGTTAGTTTTTAGGGGGGCCTTCAAACTACTACAAGAATGTTGCGTTTGAGTGCTCTTCAAGGGGCAGATTTTAAATCAGTTCCTCATGCATAAATCCAGACTTACTTCTCTTTTTATGGATTCTCTTACTAGGTTTTTGAAGAAGCAGTCACCTACAGGAGCTGAAAATGTTATTTGCTAATCTGTACAGAGACGAATTCAATCTGTCTTCTCTACCCTTGCTATCTCTTTGATCTCCTGTAGCATATTATACTGACTGTCACCTTCTTGATCTGTCCTAATTATGAATGGAAATTCAGTGCATGAAGTTTCTATGTTACTTTCTATGACAAAAAAACTTATTCCATGGGTCTTGGTGACTCTGGCCCAGCTGCTACCCAGATCTTTGAGTCACCCTCTCAGCTAGCCACTGGTGAACCCCTGCAGCACAGGGACCTCAGGCTCTTTTGTAAACTGGGTCAGTGCAATAGTATCCCAGTCAGACATTTTTGCCTTATTAGAGAAACCTCTGTTTCTCCATATGAAAATACCTTGCTATATAACAGAGTTTAGCAGTAAAAGACACAGGCAAGTCTGCTTCGTTAGAAGTGGGCTGGTTTAATTTGAAAGTTTCAAGTATTCATTCTTAAATCTCAGCAAACACAAATTCTATTAAATGTCTCGGTATGGAACAACTCCCAAATACTCATCTATAGCTTCCCCTCCACTGCTCAAGTAGTCTACTTTTTTTAGTTCCCCATCACAAACTTTCCCCTTCCTTCTCTTTACTTTCCCTGCAGCTGAGGAAAAGATATCAGGAGTGGAAAATCCACTGTCACCCAGCCCAACAATCCCCTTTCTTATCCAGTGTAAACAGTAGTTGATACCCTTAAGTCTATCATCTATTGAGAGACCTAACGTTCCACGACTGAGAGAGGCAGCTGCAGAGACTACTAATAGTCATATAGTCTTCTGTCTCTTATGCTTGCTGAGATGCTTGGCCTATACATCTTATTGCGCTCAATGTCTTCTTTAACTTACTAGCACTACCATATTGGCAAGATCTAGTCTTTCATATGTAATGTGTAAATTCCTGTCAGTGTCCCACTGATTATCTTTTACCAAGCTTCTTCTGTGATACATATTATGTCAACATCCTAATTACCTTCTAATTTAAAGCAGGATGTTCCAGGGTTGGGTGTTTTTTTTTTTTTTTTTTTTGTAAAGAACTAACATTTGATAGAAGCACATCATCTTATGCTTTTGGTCTAATTACTCATGGGCCCTGTTTGAGTGGGGCTTTATTTTTTGAAGCTGTTCTTCATTGTTTTCTACCTGAACATTATCAGTGGCTGTCTTATCTTGGAGGATACAGAGGCTTGAAAAGTTCATCCTAGAGGATGAGTCATCTTGAACTAGGAGTTTTATCAGTCAGGTTTCTCCCAATCTTTTCAAATTGTATGCATGCAGGCCATGCTGACAATCCAGAGAATGACCTCTGCCATTTTCAATCCTATTTAGCGGTGCATTTATTCCAAAAAATAATCTTATAGAAGTCAGTGGGATTGCTTGCAGAGCAAAGTACTATGAAGCCTGAACGAAGATGACAATGTCTGGATTGGGATTACATTATACATAAAGAAATAGTAGAGGGAAAAAACTTGACTGCGTGACAGTCTCTGAGTCATGAAACTGCAAGTTTCCAAACTTCGTAGCTCTTACAGGTGCTTAAAAGCCAAATTACATGGCTATTTGTTAAAATCTAATCCCTATGGCTAGCAACAAGAATATTGATTCACTAAGAATGCCTGTTACTGGAGTGCAGAGCAATTCAGAATGTATAGGTACCACCTTCTCTTCTCTTTGAACAATTACAAGTGATCACAATACCAGTGATGGTCAAGTTTTTCTATTGTCAGCATGAATTGGACATAGATGGGTAGGTTCAGTTTAAAACTCAATATATTAGTGCCTTTGAACTACAAAATCTAGAAATATTTTCATCAGAGTTTAATTTATTGATACCGAAGTTTGTGAGCATACTATGATTCATTAAAAGCTTCTGACTCTAGTTTTTATCTGTCGTTTTCATGAACATACCATACACCACTGATATGAAAGAAAATTTAAAAAGCACTGTTGGACATTCAAAAAGAAAAATATAAAATATAAGCTAGAATAATAATGTTTCATTTGAGAATGATGAATGAAACATATAAAGACAAGTGTTCCAGGCTGATCAAAAAGGAAATTATACACGCTTAAAATACAAAAAAATATTTCTTTTTTTTCCTGAAACAATGCCTGGTCAATTATAAAGAGATTTCTTTACATCCTTCTCTTATCGACCCAAACCTGATGATGATTACAGATGCATTCTCTTAAATCCTCGTGTTGCACTACATCAGTGTACCAATTATTGCAGTATTTAAGAAGCTGCATCTTAATCGCTACTTACCTACAGTACAACCTCCAGCCTTATCTTCCTTGAGAATTGTTCATAGTGACTTTATATCCCCAGTGATTTTCCTTATCATTGTCTTTCCATTTTAAGTTTAAGGATATTAACCTTCCTGACTGGTTGGCTTACCATATACTTCAGAAGCAGATTTCCATCTTAAACCAAGCAAACAATTTCTCCTTAAACAGCCAGCCAGGAAAATCTGGGATGTATTTCAATACAACCAATGTGTAGCCATTCTGATTCACAGGTGAACAGGTAGATTCCATCAGTACAGATCATTCTTTCCAGCCTTTCTATTAGAAGGTTCCCTACTGCTTCAACCCCAATTGCTGCCCAACATAAGGGGTATTATGATATATTCCCCGAAATGAAAATTCTTTCAAAGGTATAAAGTGCAGTTTTTGCTATGCTACAAAGAATTGTAAGAGGGTATTGAACATGCATTTGTAAAAAAAATGAAAGGGAAAAAAAGTGATCTCCTTTCAGGATAATTTTATGCTAAAAATCACATCTAGATCTGCTCTTGATTCTAACATGACTCCTTCCATCACCACAAAAAACTATTCTTAAAAGAAAAATTAAAAAGGTATTTTCCTTCAATTACTGTTATTGTGACTTTTCTTCTGTGCAACAATGCTGTTGCATAATAGAAGTTACAATCACAAGCTGGGCCTGCTGGTTCAAATACTCTAACCAAACATAAATGTGCAAGAAGTAAATACTTTTCCTAATGTGTTAGAACCTTATTTAGTCAAGAAGTAAATAAGAGCAGCAAATGAAGAGGAAGAACAGGAGCAAAGATAAAGTACCATTGTAGGCAGTATGGCTGCACAGCCCAGCTGTGTGTAGAGCTGACTTATTTTCGGTTTTGTGGTTTCTTTTTAATCTTAATATAGGTAAAATGAAATAAATATAGAGAAACAAGATAAATATCAGAACTTTCTGCTGGACACTTTCTAGTTATGGCAAACTGTCTGCTTCTCACTGAACTTCAGGCATTGGGCATGAGACAGCTGGTTTCAGGAACAAATGCATGTGCTGCTTTGGGGAGGGAATTCTGTACATCATCGCTGTCATCTAAATAACAGTTGGCACACATCATATATGAGCAAAGACAGGTTAAGCATATAGAATAAACTCTGCATTAAATATGCTGGAAAGAAGAGACATGAATGGGTTTCAAAGTAATAAAAGAAAAAAATTATGAGATACAGATAGCAGATTCAGCAGAGGTTAAGAATACTTGAACATGCTCAAAAATAGCAGGCCTCTAACCAATCACAGCTAAAGTACGAGATGATTTTCAGGAAGATCAGGAGAAGTTGCTTAAAGTCAAGATAGAAAATGAGGAGTGTTTTAATTCTTTGAAGAGAAGAACTCCGTTACTTGAGACAGGAAAAACTGCTCAGATATGAAACTTGATTGCCTGGGGCTAGACAAACAGGATTGACTGATTGCCAATAAAAGTAAAAGGAAGCAAAAAAAAAAAAAAAAGAGAGAATTTAGTGCTGGAAATGTTATCTTCAAGATGGTGGCACAACACAGACCTTGATTTGTTGGAAAGACAGCTAATTATTTTTAGACTAGATGGATAGAGAAAATAGAGAAAAAGAAAAGCAAAAAAAAGAAAGAGATGAAGAGGTCTAAATAGGAGCTTTATTCTAGGTCCAGTAAAAAGAAGAAGAGGGAAGAGAAGAATTTACCAGAAAGAACACCAGAGGGCCAAAAAGGCAGAAAGAGATACACGAAACAAAGATTTATGAAAACAAAATACCATCCAATTCTAGGCAAAATGTGATGAATGTAATAAATTTGCATTGATCTTGCTTGGAATTTGCCAGTGCAATCAATCAGAAGATTTTAAGTCAGCAGACTTAGAAAACAACTATGAGATGTTTTAGATCTGTTGATTGCTTGGAGGTCAGAATCAAACATTCTGAGAGCTCATAATCTCACTATCACTGACAACCAAACGACATAGAAAAAAAAAAGTCTTTATCTTTTTGCTTCCTTATTCTCATAAAATAGTTGAATGCCTGAATATTAAAACTTTTCAGCAGTTAAAACCCTGTAGAATGGCCCTTATGGTGGTTAGTGCTGAAGGTGTGAAAAGATGACTGTAGCTACAACTGATAGGAACCCAGAGATGCATTAGGTCTGTTTAACATGCAGGTGGGACTTCATATTTCTTTGAATTCATCATTTTTCCGTCTCAAAATCATAGTCTCAGTATTTTACAAAGGAATTGAATGCCAGCAGCGGTAAATGTTTGAATAAAAACTGTCCTTTTTAATATGAGAGTTCAAGAGTTTTCGTTGTTGTTTAAAGGCTCTCATCTGCAACCTGTACACTCTAACCCACAGATCTGCTAAAGACATCACACTGTCTTGCTACATTTTCTCTAGCTCTGGGAGTCATGTTCTCTTCTACTTCTATCTTTCCTGTTAATCTGTGTGATATACCATTGCTTTCACTACGATATTAATCAAGCTCTATCATTCTGTGTAGAAACTTTAATCATTTTATTGAACAGATGTAATCAGTACATGGTTGTTATAGTAGATTTTGCACCTCTGGGCTCTGTATTTACAACACTGGTTTGCTCCTCTTACATTCCATTGATCTTTTTTTTTTTTTTTTTTTTTTTTTTAAAATAAATCACTACAATATCTCTTGTCAATAGTTTGTACTTAGCCCGATTAAAAAAACGCTTAAGAACTGACCTTGATTTTTTTCTTGCCTTCCTAACATATTTGCAGAAACTTGTCAGCAAAAAAAAAAAAACCAAAAGTACTGCAACTCATTATTTCCAGAGCACAAGAAAACAGTTTATTCTCTATTTGAGGACAGTGTCTTCAGGACCACAGTGAAGAGCTTGTAATCCAAAATAAATAATATAGGCTGCATGTAAATATGACACCTTTCAAACAGAATTTTTTCTAGGTTTCAAATGCAAATATACATAGAGAAGAAGAGAGCTGAAAAGATTAAGGTTGTGCTAGTTTTAATCACTGTTGCTGAAGAACAAAGCTCTTTAAAGCCAAAATTCTCAAACACGTTCTATAGGAAACACTCTCCCAAAGGTACCCATGGTCACAAGCCATAAATCTTAAGGAATGCCTCAGAAAAAACTGGGAATATAAAATCTCAGTTTCCAAATAAAAGTATCACAAGAATGCAGGTGGATTACTGATCACATGAGTAAGTTTTCAAAAATCTTCTGTGATATGATTTTTTTAAATAGCTAATGCAGGGAAGGACAAATGTGATTCAGTTTCTTTGATCACTGATGAACTTAAGCTTTATTATCATTATCTGTCAGGGATCTCACCTCCTTCTGCATGCTTCTCATCTTTGACACAGGTATCATGTAAAGACCCATTTGGATCACAGAAACATGGCTGGCATGGATCTGGGCTATCTGCCAACACCTATAAAGAGAGAGAGATTACAGAACAAAACCCCACCTTGAGGAACTGGAAACTTCTATTTCTTTTTTAAATAACAGTTAGGAGAGAACCATATTCTGCGTAGGTGGTTTGCACTCTAACAAAAATTAAGCAACTGCCTCACTTAAATCATGCAATCTAGGCATTAACATTGCATTTTAGATACATGTTTAATATATAAGTAAGCAATTTAGATACAGACATGTTTTCAATGAAAAATACAGTTGTATATAGATACTAATGGCCTTTTTTATAGCTAAAAATAAATATAATGAAATAGATTATAAACATTCACTACTTAAAATCTATGGTTTAAGGTAATACTAACAAATAGTTCAGTTATGCTGTCCAACACGAGACAAATATAGTAAGTAAAGAAAATAGTATGTGAATAAAAAGCGAACACTAGACAACAGCACAATTTCCGTTCATTCCTGAAAAGGATACCTCAACAAAAATTACACCTTAGTGTAATATTACATTGGGGATATAAACTGAAGATCTACATAAACTAAGTGTGTGCATATGTATGTATGTGAATATATATAGTATGTATATATGTACACACATATGTGTGCATACATACACACATATACCCACACACATACACACATGTCGATATGCATGTTTGTACATATGGATAGACATGATCAGTATTAGTTGGATAATAATCTGATTTAGATAAACAAATCAAGGAAGTTCCCCACTGTTGAAAAGAGATCAGTACTCCTCCTACAAGCTCCAAGGCTATAAACAGTATATCAAGGAGATTTTAATTATTATTATTTGATGATGTTTTCTGTGTTTGAGGAGTGAAGTGTAATCAGACTAAAGACCGTGCTTTGCTCTACTGAAACTATACTGACAAAATATCAGGAATTTAAGCACACATTAACAGTGTAGCTATTTAAAATGTAGGCACAGCCCATATTAACAAAGCAATCTAACATAAAATGCATCTTCTGACAGCTTCAACTTGGATGAAAATATAGCTTTGTATGCTGCAGCAAAAAAAAAAAAAAAAAAAAATCCACCTGCACTAAAAATGAAAGGCATTCGTGGGACAGGAGAATTTCTACGTTACATTAAAAAAAAAAAATTAGACTCTCTCCAATATCAAATATAGCAATATATCTTTGATCTTTGATAATACCTCTTGAAATTCATTACTGAGGCAAGAGTTTTGTTTATAGGATCACATCCTCCTTTAATTTAAACTGAAATACTAGCTGGAGGCCCTGACCTCAAGTGCATTCCTTCATATCAACAAAATTCGCTTTCATATTTCTGCGAACATTAACTTTACAGACTTCCAACTGTGCAAGGCAACTACTACACTGCCACAATTGGAAGTTAACCTTCATAAAACGGCAGTCAAAACTGTGTCATCTCAATTCAATAGCTTAACTCTCCATGCTGAAGCGGTGGCTTGAACACCAAGAACTACACTGAAGCGACAGCAGAACATGCGATTACCCCTTTTGGCCTGAAGTAACCATCAATGCAGGTCTCACAGTTTATGCCATCAGTGTGGCTGGTACAGTTAACGCACACTCCGCCCCCAATGTATTCTCCATGGACATTCAAACTCTGATTTCTGTCAGCGATATTCTGATCGTAGTAACATTCCTCCGTCTTCCCATGACAGTTGCACGCTAAAAGAGAAGGAACCGTATTAGCAAACGTCACTCTCTGGCTGAGGACTTAAGACTGCTACTAACATATTAATAACAATCTTTCAACATTTTGTCATTTGTTCTGTGTACACTGTAGCCAACAGCATGTTCAAACATTAATTTACTGCCTCTTCACCCATTAAAAATAATATGGTCCACTCACAAACGCTCTTCAGAGGCCTGTATATTATAATTTTTCCTCAGTGTTTTGCCTAGGGGGACTAGGGAAGAGGGCAGGAATAGTGTAACTATGCTCTTCCCAAATTTTTTCTTTTCTGTTTAAACTGATGATCCAATAACCTTCTGCTGAACACACACACGCGTGGCTCAGGAAACAGTTGGCCAAAAAGAAATATAAGAGGATACAGTAACTATAAGGGATATAATGAAATGGTAAGAGTAAATTAAAATCATTTCCTTGAAAGCTATAAGAAATCTTAAAAGCACTTGATTTACACATATGCATATAAAAACTGGGTCAGAACAAAGACTTGCCATCTTTACCATTTTTTGAGAAGTTCAGATTTGAATCTTTAGGCTGCAAGCCCACACATGTCTGAGCTATCTAATAATCTGTTGCTGTGAAAATGAGGAGACTCTCACTCTCCCCTCCTCTTGGTATTAAAACATCCAAATTTTAATCTGCATATAAAGAGGAATACAAGGCTCATCAGCATTGCAAGGAGTCATGCTACTGACATTATGCGTTTGGAACCAGATCCCAGGGGACTTTTTCCACCATGAAAGCAGAACAATTCACTGAGGGATGAACAGGGCATAAGAAATATCCCTTAAAAATTAATCCTGAAAATTAATGGACCCCAATTTGATTCCAAAATGCATTCCCTGTACACACAGCCTGCGTGAACAACAGTCTCTATGAGACTACATTACTGGACAGAAATATGCATTGCACTTACAACATTAATATGAGGGTATCTGTTTCTTTTTATTTATTTTTAACTACTCCTGGTAAATCCACATCTGCAATCCTAGAACTGAATAAATACTTATGTGTACTGGAGCACTAGATATTATTATGTTCAGAAATATATACACTTTCTGACCCCTGGAAGTAAGATACTGAAGTTCAATTATTACTATCCTGACTACAGTAAATCTGAAAATGCAGTTCCTACCCTGTGGGAAGATTTCAATGTATGTTTTCATTCCATGTTGTAAAACTAAATACACCATTTTTTCCATTTAAAAAAAAAAAAATCAGAAACTAATTATATTTTGATCACGTAAACTACTTTGTTTCGGCAAGGCTGAACAATATAATGTATAAAAGTGATCATTTATACAAACATATTGCTGTTAAAGTTTAATATAACGAAAAAGTCTTTAAAAAAGAATTTTTAACTTTATCGGAATGGACCTATTTGACTTTATCAAAAGCAAACCATGAAGATTATAAAAATTAAACAAGGAAGATATCCCATCAAAATCAGCACGTTACACTACAATATTATGAGTTCAATAAAATTTAAATTCTACAAATAATTGTTCTATTGACTTCTTTGAGCCAGTCTAGATAATAAGTGAGCAACAACTAATTTATAAACAAGTGTATTTAGAAATAAAATGAATTCCAGAATCGACTAGGACTTGATTTCTGTTTTCACCAGCAGTTACACTAAACCTTCTCTTCTGTACTCATCTTGACTTACGTTCACATTCATACTTGACCAGGAAAGTTCCAGCATGCCAAGGTTTTTGATTGAAACCAGGACAACAACGATCACATGTTTCTCCACACGTGTTGTGCTCACACTGACAGACGGATTTCTAATTTAAAAGAAAATCAAATATTAACACAGTGTGACGATTTGAAGAATCTGTCCAGACACATATTCTGCAGTGCAGTTCAAATCATGAAAATGTTAACATTAAAACTTCTCTATTTTTATTCATTTGTGTATCCTGCACTCACCAAATAAGAGACAACAGAGCGTGTTCAACCTGAATAGTTTTACTATAAGAAAACAACCATTGTGCAAAGGAAGTTGGCCAGTTCTAAGGGAATCTACTTCCAATTGTCTGATGAAAGGAGGACTGGAGAATGAAAATTCTCCAGTACCGCAGATAAGTTAAAGGGTTGGTAGGCCTCAGTCAGATACAGCTTCACATTATAGTCAGCTTACACAAAAAGGCGGTGAGCCAACCTCCACCCTTCCCCTCAGATACAGTAATCATGCAGCTGCAGGGTTGAAATCACTTCAGCTGGCTGATCCAAAAAAAAAAATACTCTTCTTCTCCCCTTTAGCATTTGTTCTGTACTGGATGAGTCAGTTGTGCTGACTCACATATATGTGCACACATACATACATATATGTATGAATATATATACATACACACATGCGCACATACACCCACATATATAAAATGTAGCTACATATGCAGCCTTCTAGCTGCATCATAACTAAGTTCTGTGTGAGGGTAGCAGAAGGACTTTTTAACTAAGAGAGGAGCCAAGAGCAGTATCGCCCTTTCAGTAGCCTTTTGGTTCCTCAGCAGATCGGCTTAGTTACGACACAAAAACATTGCTATAGAGAACACAAACTCCTTGAGGCACAGAGGAAGCTTCAGAAAGATAAAAGAAACTCTACTTTGGAGAAACGAGGAGCAAAATTTGCCTTCACAGTATGTGTTGGGAGATAGGGTGGAAGGGATCCTCTCTGCTCCTTGTGAACCCACTTAAGATCAAAGGAGCAAGCTAACCTGGAAAAATATCTGGCTCACAGGACAAGGCATGAATCTTGAAAGATGCGGTCAAGTTAAGGAATGCTTCAGACCAGCAAGGCAGTAAATTGTTTGTGTTGCTAGAGGAATGATATATTTTGCTGCTAGTCAGAGGCATGATGCTTTATAAGCCAAACAAAGCCAATTTATTTTAGGATGTCTCTTTCTAAAGAGTATGCCTGGAGAGCTCAACCAAACGCCTCACCTCTCTTATAGCTTGAGTTGCTTCATTCATTATATTTTTTATACTCTTCAGAAAACATATTTGTGGTGCTGCAAAACAAGACACAACTCCTGCTATGATGCCTTTTTTTTTAAACCAGTTCCAAACTATCCACACTGAAGTCCTTCTTAATCTGCAATAACAGCACTTCTTTTCTGAGGTAGGCCCAATTCAAACACACAGCATTGAGATAATGCTGCCATCTGATAACTAAGACCATCAGAAACAATGGTCCATCACTTGCTATGCACATCATCACCGAAAAAGCTTAGAAGGATTAAAACAAGGGTGTCATCAAATTTTAACAGGGATCATAGAAATTGCTTAGAACCATAAATACTCTCTCTAAATTTTTTCTAGTTTCTTTTTTTTTTTTTTAAATAGTTCCTATACAATGGCTTGCCATCCTATAGGAACAAGATTTTCTGTTTCTACAAAATTTCTAATTAAAAGAATAATATATGAAAGACTCCTTGTTGCAGCACATCAGCAAAGTCAGCAGATTGTAAATTCTGTATTAGTGATAATATGTGCATGCATGTGTACAGAGTTGGACCATCAATAAGAAATTATGTTTCTGATTTGGTTATGTGTTTATTAATGGTGTAAAAAGAAAGCTACAAGTTTGGAAGAACTATAAACAGCTTCATGATTTTCTAGACTAGCTTGATTGATTGCTCAATTAATATTTCCCACACGGTAAACAGGCCATTCTAGAGCCATCATTTATTTGCATGTACTCACTAAATTGGTGACATTTATTTAGGAAACACCTTGATTAATACCAAACAGGAAAAGAAACATCAACTAGTAGAGCTCACCTCTACAGCTACATCACATAATCTAAATTTCTGCTGGTCCTAACAGGCTTTCAAGACAGACTGATTTATCTGAAACCTATCCTTTCCTTGAAGAGAAAGCCTTCACTGACATTGCACGAATGTTTATCATTCTGGTTGCCAGCATTATTTCATCCTGGCACTGCTATGGACTCTTCTTCTAGGCGAAGAACAGATGTCAGTTCACAGAACTCCAAGAAAGAATCTGGGTAATTCCTCATGTTCCACCCTGTGAACAAGAAGGCACTTAAAAAAAAAAAAAAAGCCACTTACATTAGTCACTGGATCCAAAGGACAAGCCTTTGCATGGCCTGAACAGATGCACATGCCTCCAACAGAGATATCTTTTACAGAATAGTAATACTGTAAGACAAAACAGCAAATGAATTGCTAAGTGGATTATAAAACACAGGTGCCAAACTACAGAACTTATTTCTGGTGACAAAACTGTCAGGTCCTGTTTTATTTCTTTTTTGATCTATTAAAAATACAGCAGAGTAATCCAAGCTGCATCTTGATCAACAGACTCAAGCTTAGTGAAAGAAGGGGTATAAATTGGCACGGTTCCATTTGTATGAAGTCACAAGAGCTATGCCAGTTAACACATAGCAGACACCAAACGGGAGTGTAAGAGAAGGCTATATGCACACTAGATAGTGAAAAGTCAAATGCTATAGCCTTTACTGCCTTCAGAAAACATGAAAAATGAAAAACATGGTGAGGAAGAGAAGAGGAAGGATGAAGAAAAGCTAAGAAAGGGACACCTTTGTTCACCTTACTTGGGTATCACTTGGGCGTTTACTACACTATGGAAAGAAGAACCGTTTTTCTCTAGTGGCCTTTAGAGTGACTATGTAAGAGTCTCCAGTCTCCATTACTAAGATGTAAATAACTTCTGACCTGTCGCTCTGCCCTGTGACCATTTCTATTTTTCTTTGGTGGGGATTAATAGCACTTATAGGAAGGAAGAAAAGATGTTTATAACCATGTATTCTTACATCTGTTAAAAGCAAATTTCACATGCTATCTTGTCCATTTTCATCTAATTTTGGTGATAGTCTGCAATATCTCAACAATTGGCTAATGAAAATAAATGTACGCTATTTGCAAATGTTGCTATTCCTGGGTTCAACCTCTTTTGCTGATCATTATTACATATATCAAACACAACTGGAACTCATAATTCATAGTTAACTTTCTACCATGCAGAAAATGGATCATTCATAACTCCCTTTTGTTTTCTGCTTTGCAGCATAGTAGCTTGTCTAATGTCTAAGTTTCAGTTGCTCCTTGTTCTTCTGGAGATGTCTCTGCAGCAGCCTCACAGAGAATTGCCATACAGAAGTTATTATTTGTTCATTCAAGAAATCTGCGGATCCTCCTGAACCAGATTTCAGGAGTATACAGTGAAATCTAAAGTGTGAATTGGCACCTTAGCTAGATTCAGTTTTGTGTTTCTGCTCACTTAGAATATTAAATGTAAACACTTAGCTTCCATGATTACTTAAGTCTGCAAAAACTGTACTCAACTGGAATTTTTTCTGCGTTTGTAATACAAAACAGAACGCCACATTCCAAACATTCAGAGACTGTTCCACTTCAATAGCCAGCACCCTACAGATCTGAAAGAAGAAATGTGGAAGAGAAGAAGCCACTTTTCTTTGCAGTTATCCACCATTGATAAATGGCATTCATTCAAGCCAAGAATAACAATAACACCCTTTCATAACAGGACTTACTATACTGGTATCCTAAACAACTTCTTTTCAAAACAAAAATACAAGATCAACATAAAGAGGAATGAAGTAAGAGGAAAAACTGTACACATTCCCAACTTTTAGCAATGCCTAGTGGAAAAAATCAGAGGAAAAGCAGAATGAGCAGCAGGAAGACAGGGAGATCTGGCATTAGAAGAAAAGAAGGACTGGGTAAAAAAGAGAACATGGGCACACACCCAAGGAACAGCGGCAAAGATGGGGGCATGGTGGGAGTACGAATGCTGCATCCATTCTTTTAAGCTAAAGCAAGATAGTAAAAATTTTACTATTAGCAAGAGTATTATACTCATGATACAAATATAAAATTCAGACACCACTGCTACTAATAGTACCACTAAAAGGAATTCCATTCAAATTAAGCATTCAAAAATGTTAAAGATAGCAAAGGAGGGAGCAGAAAAGGAGACGTTATCTAGCAACAGTCACTTGCCAATTACCTGTATCAGAATGTTTACAGCCCAAGGAGCTCTGTGCTACTGGTTCTTCATGTTAATAATACCACTAAGCAGAAAAAACAAAACATTCACTTCTGCTATAGGGAAGAAAACAGAACACTGAAGAAGGGGAAATACTCTACCTACCAGTAGGATTTTGACAAGTAACAGCAGCTGCTCATAATCTGCCAAGATTTTCTATGGCGAGCAAAGGCAGGTGCAGCATTTATAAGCATCGCAGAACTCCTACCCATGCCTTTCTACAGCGTTGCCAGAACTTACCCTCCTTGTAACAATGGGATCAATTTCATTGGGGTCTTTGTGTGCAAACATCATTAAATCAGCGTTTAGTGTCCGTATCCTTTGAAATCTCAAGCGAATAAAGCGAGCCGAGGTGAAGTCTAGTAATACGCGTGAAGGATCATCAGCACTAGGCCGTCCATTAATTAGAGAAGTATGAATCTGAAAATAGAATTATTAAACAATCAGATGACATTAATGCAGCCATGATGATGCCAATAAATATCATTAGAGGCACTGTGTGAATGCAGTCTAACTAGAATACCTTCTTCCTTAAGAAAGCAGATATCCCCACAAAAATATTCTGCATACCCACTGACCTCAGTTCTGCAGAGGCTTTACCGTAAAAACACTTTGGAAAAGCTACAGAAAGATTCTAGCACAAACTGCACACAGCAAGGCCCTATAACAATGTTCACGCCACAGGGAAGTCATTTCTCCTGCCCTGGTCTGACCCAGTGAGGCAGACATTTTCAAGTCATTGAACAACTGAAGGAACACAAAAAAATTGAGTTAAAGGAATGGATACTTAGAATGGGACTCCTGAGTTCACCAGGGAAGGAGACCAGTTTGCACTCCTTAAAGCAATCAACATCAAACGCCTGTTAAACTAGATGTTTTCTGAAGCCAGGTGCTATTAGAAGACAAAGTAGAATACGATAACTTTTGAAATATAGAAAACTACAACTGCTGGACGAGACAAAATATATTCATAAATATCTCCCACTTCCCACTGCCTCTTTACAGAGTGCATCATTTCCTTTGAATCTTGTTTTCAGCAAATTAAAATTAAAATTCAGCAAGTGTCTTTGAATCTTGTTTTCAGCAAATTAAAGTGATTTTCTCTGTTGCAACAGCTCTGATCTGGTCCCTAAGGAGTCTCCTTCTATCACCTTGGAGAACTATCTGTTCACTACTTGTTTTTCTGAAGGCTCTACCAATATCTGCTTGCACCATGGTTTCTGTAAAGAGTGCCCCCCTTTCTCTGCCTGCCCTATGCTAAACTCTATAAAACTTCTAGATAAGTGCACTCAGTGGTTTTCAGGGAAGATGCTATCTCCCCTCTTTCAAAAAGAGACTCTCTGACCCAGATTGCAGCAGGCAGGGTAAAGAAAATGAAAATAAGCAATTTTCTTCCCCTGCTGCCAAGACAAACCCTTTTTAGCTGATCATGACATACATTAGCTGTGAATCAACAAAATAAAACCATGGGCCATTACAGAAGTGTTCTTGGCAAAGGCCTACAAGAGGTACAGCAAAATATTGTTAATAAGCACCTAGGGGGAGGAAAGAAAGCAACTATTAATTTTCCTGTATTCTGAGGTGTTAAATTTTAATTGAGGCATTTTTATTACAGCCTGGTACACCAAAAGAATCTTCAGATGTTTGGCCAAACATGCAGAACATTAGGACGGATGAGAGAATTATTTAGTCTTTGCAATGACTATGTTGTGCACCTTATCTCAGTGCTCTGAGTGGAAGTTCGGGCCATACATCCATTTTCTATCATTGGGCGTGTTTCAGGCCAACAGCTGCATTCAGTATGCCAGCTGGCACTCACTCAGCAGTAGCTGCTGCACACAGGCAAAAGAGAGAGCACATCTACCGCTTCCAGCCAAGCAGCGGCTCTTACTTTCCTGGAGTTTCTGCAGGTGCTGCATAGAAGGCTTATTGAACAACTGCTGTTTTGCACTAGCTATGTGATACTATCAACCTACTCACCTCATTTTCACTGCCAACAGGGAAAACCTGAGCCTCATCATGTCCACCATCCAGCTCCACTGCATCCACAGGTATTCAAAAATTGCTTGGAGCAGCTCTGCCAGCAGTAACTGATCAGTTGGATCTTGCCTAAATAGCCATCAGCAGCTTTAGGCTCCTATCATGTTGTCTCTGGGAAGAGGTATTATCACTACCTCCTCCTGAGATAACACTCTCACTTCAAGCTCTGACTCAATTTTACTCCAGATTACGAGTAATTAAATTAAAGGAGAAAGCTGACTGGAAACAAACAGAACCAAATGTAATGAAAAAGGTAGGGTACAAACAAAAGATAATACCAAAAACCCTAGAGGAAGCAAGGAGGAGCTCCTGAATGAGCAATGTTTGGCTCCAACCAGCATAGAAGCACATAACTGGTGAGACAGCAACCTGCTCAAATTTCCCAGTAAAAGAGAAAAAGGTGAACACATGGAGAGTAAACTTCAAAAGAAGCCCAGAAATGGTGGCAAAAGTGGAAATAAACAAATCTTTCCAAAAGAAGGTAAGGTTTTAGTAAGAACAGATGCCTACAGACTGCTCCTGCTTTTCTCTGCCTATCATTAACCTGTGCGCAAGGAAAATAGACTTATTTTGAGCATTTTTTTCATATTGTCAGCCCACTTCTTTACATAGGATCCAAGAAATATGTTTCTTACAGACATCAAACATAGCTAGCTAGGTTATGGTGTAAAGCAGTAGAATGCTAACTAAAGACTGAACTTTTGATATTCCAGCCAGAAGGAAAGAAGAAATACACCCAAAGTAGTGCTGAAAACATTCCCCAACTCACCTTGTAATAGCAACAGCACTGTGGCTATAAGCAGCAGGACAGGCTGACCATCTTTTCAAATAGAGAGAAAAGTAAGCTTTTGGAGTGGTGGTGGTGGAGGGGGGAAGGTGTAAGCAGAAACTCATGTGTGAGAACAAGGAAGTGCCTACAGAGAATTAAATCACAGACATAGGTTGACCCCAAATGCTGACAAAGGGCATTCATATTTTTGATTTATAGCTAAAAAAATAAACAAGTTTCGTCTTAAGAGGCTGTGGCAGGGGGGACTCAAAGTGATAGTTTTACAGAATTACAATTGTACATTAATAAAATGAAACAAAAAGAAGCCTTTTCAGGATAAACCCCCCTTTTAAAAGGTTTCATGGATTTATCTGCCAGCAACACATCCATTTGGCAAGGCTAAATGACTAAAGATGATAACCTTAATTTATATTGTGTCTTTCACACCTGTATCTAAGCATTTCACAACTTCATTTCAAAACTACAAACAAATAATTTCTCCTAAGTTCTGAAAAGCAGCTATGTCCTGGGTGAAAGGTGGCACCTATTAAAATATATGCACCAAAATGACACTGAGAGAAGATCATTGAAACCGGGTAGTTTTATCAAACTAAATTTGAAGGGAAAATTTTAGACAGGCAAAGTAAATTACTCTAAATTATTTCTCCTCCTCTCAACAGCTGTGATTAAATCATTAATTTCTCCCAAGAAACATTTAGAATCAACTTTTGTTGAAGTTGAGAAGTTGTTCCTACTCCTTGAAAACAGAATCAAGGAAGGAACAAAGAGTACTTTGAAAACATCTGTCATTAATCAGGAATAAACAGTCAGAATCAGAATTTTAGATAACTTTTTTAGAAGTTCGAGTAGAAATCTGATTTACAATATTATTTCAGTATGACTCTTTCATGAGGAAATATCACTGTGTTTTTCAATTTTCTATCCTTTTTTTCCCTGCACAATCTTGACCAATTTGTAGGATATTGTTTGCCGGAGAGCAGGTTTTCATTAAAGACATTAGCTTGACCCCTACTCTCCAAGACATTTTGATTCAGATCTGCTGCAATACATGTAGTCCGCAATAATCATCTACCATTATGGCATCCAAACTCAACACAGGGCTTCCTATACAGCTCTAAGTCCTGCAAAGAGTAGCTACTGCTATTATCCCCATTTTCACAAAGGCAACTGAGGCACAGCTACACTACAGTATGAGCTACACAGGAGTGCTGCAGCAGAACTAAGATCCAAAGCTGAGTCTACCAGTACAATATTAATAGTTTAATCGTCCCATGGGGCTACTCTGATTCAGATAAGCCAAGTCCCCATGTGGGAAGAATCTCAAATTATGCTTAGGTTTTACGGACAGTTTTATATACCAGTTCCAAGCTTGAAATAATCACTATTTTGGATTCTAAATCAAAGCCATACACATTTCAGCCCTACAAAATTCTTCCTAAACAAGGAATTCTTCCTAGATTAAATTCCATCAAATGGGATCTTCAGGGAAAATGAACATTCCCTTCCAAAACATCTGAACGTTACCATAACGGAAGGCCAAATTCTCATTTTGTCGAATTGTTTTGAATTGTATCTCCTCAGTAAACCAGTTCAATAGTCAGAAGTAGTCAGCAAAAGGGTATGATGACCTTTTACAGTAGCTGCATTGGCAATTGTATATTCAAAAAGAGTACCGTCTTATTACAAGTTACTTTAGTTACCACCTATCCTCTGGATTGGGTTTGGAACCAAAACCTCTAACTGTTATTGCAAAGATATATGTTCTATTTAGATGCAAAAACATAAAAGCCAGTTTAGAACCCCAAAGGTCTACCTAACCCAATGTCCTGTCTGCAACAGAGGGCAGAAGAAAACTATTAAGAAGAAATATAAAATGCAGGGCATTTAGAGAACCATCTCTCCCCAGAATATCATTACTTCTTCTGAGTGAACAGTTTAAATGTTTCCTGAGCTACTGGCTGAAATTGAGTCATTGTGTTTAACATACCAATGGCCATTTACTCCACTACTACTCTAATCCCTTTCCAAGCCATTATGTTTTTCATCACTGCAGACATCTGTCACAAGTTTTCACAGTTTAATTAAGCATGATGGGAGGAAATCTGTTTCGTTTACTTGTTTTAAACCTGCTGATGGATCCTTCCAGTGAAAGTATTCTAGTTTTTGGTTTGAGGAAATTGTGAGTAATCACTCCTTTTCATTTTTGAACTTCTGTATGTTGCTAAGATATTAACTCAACTTTTTCAGAGAGCTGTTGAGACTGACTACAAGGTCTCTAACCAGAAGAGAATTTAGCCTAACTTTACGGCATCAGCATTCATGCATAATTCTTTTTTCTAACTTGTATTACTTTTGAACATGTATTCAATACTGAATTTTATATGATATTTTTCATTTAGTATCATAAGCTCCCAATACAATTCTTTGTAATCAGCTTATCTGAAATTTGGCATTACTAACAAATGCTGCCATTACCCTGTTGTCTGCTTTTCCAGATTGCCCATGAATATGTTGAACAACACAGATACTAGCACAGATCTTCAAAGGACATCTCACTACATTATAAGCGCTTGCCACGTCCAAAGGAAAA